TGATATAGGTCCGAAATGGGGTGTGGTTTTGACGTGGTTTAAGGCTGGGTGCACCATATGGCAGCAGATGCACCCAACCTTGTGCACAGTGACAGTGATACAAGATCATCCAGTGGTACAGCTGGAAACAATTCTTTCTGGACACGTAGGACATGGCTATGCTGAGAAAAGAAGAGGAAACTAGATTCTCATGAAATTACGCATGGAACAGATCCCATGCTTGTGAACAAAGTCGCAGAAACTCGTCTTTCCTCTCGCTATTGCTCATACCGTACGAGGCTCTTTTAGCACCGGATCGGTTCCACGATGACGGCGGGCTACCATTGTCTCGTTCGTACTCTTCTCGGCCCCGTACGCGCCCGTTAGTCGGCGCCGTTGCCCGTTGGTGGCCCGGAGGCATGGGCGACGGCGGAGTTGGCGGTTGCACACCGCCGTAGTGCACTACTTTGGGCATCAACTCCTCGCGGCCACCAGATAAATCGCGTACGGCCTCTTCGGCCGAGCGATACTCGCGTCGTGGCGGAGCCAGCGAAAGCGGTGGGGGAAGTCCCGGCGATGGTTGCACCACGGGACCTGGCGCCGGCGGCTCAAACCGGTCGTTGGCAAAGACATCAGCGATGGGCGGTAGCCGCGTCGTGGTCGGCTGCGGCACATGGTGCATGTGGCTCGTCTGGCCTAGCCGGTTCCGAGTCAGCGCATCGTCAGGACGCAGCCCAGTGAACGTTTGGTTCATGGGGGCCGATTGGATTACACGGTCATGAGCAAATTGTGCGGCCGATGGCGCGTTTATGGTCAGCCCGGCCGGCGGCCCGCGACGACGAGATGAAGCCGGCGTCCTCTCGTCAACCTTTTGGCCCCGCTGGCGTGCCTCGATGATCAGCCGCTGCTGGTCGCGGACGTCTAGGCTTCGCTGTAATTGTGAGCGCAGGCCCGGATCGTTTGTCTGAAAGCCCGGCGACAAGCATGCGAGCCCGACGTCCTGGATGGCGGCCGTCAGCGGGGCGGAAGGTCGCGTCGATGGTGGACGTGACAGATCGAGCTTCTTTGGCCGCGGGCGCGCGGGTATCGAAGGTGAGGCGGGCTCCTTTTTGACGGCGCGGTCGGGAGATCCATGGCGGGACGGTTCCGCTGGCGGCGCGGAACTCGGGGGCGCAGACTGGGCGGCCGAAGCCGGGGCCGGGGCCGGTGCGGAAGGAGCGGAGGTGGCAGAACACACGGGCGGTCCAGACGGGACGGTCGCAGTGGACGGAGCGGCAGCGGGCGACGATAGCATTGCCGGTGGTGGTGCGCAGCTGGTCGACGTCGAGGGCGGACGGGGGAGAAGAAGAGCGCAAGGGTGAGACATGATTCATCAATCTGCGACGTTTTACTGGACCGGCCCGCCCAACACAACCCCCCGCACTTTGATTTACATTTGGTTGACTCTGTCCCTTGACCAGCCACTCGACCCCGTGCTATTCTTAGTTCCAGTCCGAACCCTACTCGCTCACCCGACCCTGCCGATCTTTCTCCGTTCCTGGAATCAATCGTCCATTTTCACTGGCTGCCTTGTTGATCGCCATGCCCTGATCGTCCCGACACATGCTTTGTGTCACGCCGAACAAGCCGCCCCAGCTGTTCGCCGTCGCGCCATCTAACACGAAACACTCCGTGCGCATGTGGGGGCTGGCGCTGATTGGACGACTCTCCACTTCTGACTTCAGCCTTTGTCTTGAGATGGCTCTGCTTGTATAGATTTGATTGGACAAAGAGGCGCCGATCGTTTTGACGGCTCCTCTTGGCTGAGTCGTGGTGGTATGTAGTCATATCCGTTTTGTTTTCTGTCAATCTGTACCGGGGAATGTGGAGAGCCCGCAGCTGTTATCTCCGGTGATTGCCAGGGACTGACAGATGCAGGACTTTTACGTTGAACTGTTCAGGGTCACGGTCTGCAGGCTGACGATAACAAATTCTTGCTTTGCAAGCCATGTAACTGCAGTCGAGCATGCAACGGTCAGTTTCGTTGAGGGCTCGAGAACAAGGTGCTGCCTTGGGCACTATCGCGGGAAGAAATGAACGCGGAATCTCATTTCACTTCGTCATTTGATGAGCCCAGCCATGACGGCTCTGTCGTTTGTACTACAGGGTTTGCCGCTTCGATGCAGATTTCTTTGAGTCTGTGGAAGTCGGCTTAACGAAGGTTCGGCTTGCTAAGGTTGGTGGCATATTGCTTTGCTCTGCAATCAGCATCCTGAGTTCGAACGACTATGAATGTATTTGCCAACTAATCACCAACTTCAATTCACAATTTGTCGAGGACAAAGGCAGTGACAGACGGACATTCAACTCGTCAATGTCCGTTCATTCGCCCTTGACAATGCATTGATCGTTTTAGTCTTTTGTCATTTTTCTACAATGCGTTTACATCCCATTGATCCTAAACAAAGATATATAACTAAACAATCCCTATTGTTTCAACCACTGCTCACCCATAAAGCCCCATCCTCCCAGCATCCCTTTCCCTCCAATAAAACACCAAACTCCCAACCTCCAGCAACAACAAGCAAGGAAAACATGTCGTCTCCCACATACATCATTTCTGCCGGCCAGAACCACATGCTTACCAAACGCAACGAGTTCCCGGCAGGAACAATCATTCTTCCACTAATCCTCATATTTGTTATAGCCCTGTTTGTCAGCCTTGGGTTGTACATCAAAACGAAGGAGCGCCGTGCGGAGAAGGCCATCAAGCAAAGACGCAAAGCGCTGGAGGAAGGGAGGGAGGCAAGAAACATGAAGAGATTGTCCGTTCGTTTCCAGGAATGGTTGGGGGAGAAGGCTGTGGTGGAAATGCCTGAGATGCCGCAGACGGTCCATGGTGGGAAGGAGCGGGTGAGGTAGACGGGTGAAGTCAAAGGTAAGTGGAAAGGTAAGTTGGTAAGGTAGGTCATTCCCTCCTGCTGGTATAAGATGTCGTCTACCCGATTTCAATATTTCCGTGCTTGAACGCTTAACTAGCCAGGATCCCAAAGAGTAGAAACGTCCTCTTCCAGTATGCCTCGACAGCTTTGTCAATCTTCTGGCTTCCTTCCACCTCCAGCCCGAACGGTCCCAGGATGATCTCCAAATACTTGACATCGAACGTATTTTGCGGATTTGCCTCAAAGCCGTCACCCAAAGCCGCGCTAAGGGTAGCTGCCAGTTCCCCTTTCAACACCTTCACAGCCCCTGGGGTCCAAAGGTCAGTTCCCAAGTCTTTTGCAGCACGCTGAATGTCGAGCAGCCATTTAAAAGTTGAAGGGGCTGGTTGAACAGGGGAGCCGTTTTCCCAGAGCGATTCCGCCCCTTGGAACAATTGTCTCAGGCCTTTTACACACTGGCCTGTCGGGATATGATCGATGATCCTAGTAGCTAACTGCAAATGAAGCTTTTTTACCAGCTGGGTTTGGTCACTGGATATTCTCTTCATCGCTTCACGTAGTAATCGTAGCATAACAGCCGGATCGCTCCCATCTTCGCATTTTTTTGTCAACCAGGAATACACTGCAGGTTTGACTTCTGCAAGGGAAGAATTTAGAGCAGATTGGACAGCATCAGCATCCTTGGCATCGTCCTCTTCATGGTCGAGGTCAAGATCAACATCCCACCTCATTCTTCGCATTCGGTGGACGATTTTCCCAAGAGATTCAACCTCACGTTTCCACTCGTCTAAAGCAAAGGTGAATGAGGTAATCGTGCTGTTGCGTCCAAGTCGGCGGGCCTCAACTTCTTGTCGTTCGGGGCGTGAGTCCCAGAGGTCTATATTTGAAGAGGTTGGAGGGACTGCAAGAGCTTCGAGGACAACCAATACAGAACTTGTACGCTCATGCACGAGGTTAGACACTCGCTGAGCGAATATTTCCCTCAACTCCCGCACTCCTTCACCAGTGATAGAGAGGTAGCTTTGCATGACCTCTTCCCGGAGTTTAAGGGTCCGCAAAACATTTAAAGTGGCGACACGATGTCCCACAGCTTCTATGATGGCCTTTCTAACTTCTGCCGCGAATGTTTCCAACGATTTTCGCACATCCTTGGGCTCTAAGCCGTTGTGTTTGATCCACGGTGTGAATGTCTTGATTTCATCCGAGATCCAAGGTTCCAGAATATCGCGATCCGTCGTATCAAGTCTCTTGTCGTCCCAAATGGGGACTCTAGCCAACTCAGCCAGAGCCCGAGAGATCTTGTCGGGAAAAATATCCCTCACATCAGTCATGGTATTCTTGTAAACGGCCAGCATACCAACGACGCGCTCGCACTCCTCTCTAAGTACTTTACTCCTGACCGCGAGGAAGAACCTCAGCACTTCTTTTGGTGGCGTGTTCGAAATGAGAGCAAAAGCACACAGTGCGTTGATACAATCAGAACCGGCCATGGTCCTTTCCAGGAATTCCAGCACTTTGACTCGTCGCCGTGCTAGAGTCTTCCTCTGCAACGAAGAGGCGTCTCCATCAACGAGCAATCTCGCCAATACAAATAAGTTCCCGGCAAGAAGCGGATCACCACGGGAAGCAACAACCCTTCTGACTTCGCGCAAGGAGTTTTCAAAAACCCTCTTCTTAACGAGCGCAACTCTGCCCTTCCTTTGCTTTTCCTCTCGCAGATTCACATTTGCAAAGACCCTCTCGACCGACTCCGAAGTGCACTTGTGGCCAATTTCAGCGAGTCGTAGTTCAAAGTTCGCGGCCTCGGCATCCATCTGGATAATCGTCTCGGCTGTGCCTAACAGATCTCGGTAGCTGCCCGCCACGAGGGAGCGCAGCTGGGCTAAGTTCTCGTCGGCGCCATGGCGAAGCTGTTGACCGAGTTTGCGCACGATAGGTGGCGGATAGGTATTGAAAGCTTGTTGCCAGCTTTGTAGTTCAGTCGCTGGAATCGTCGTTGTGGTTGCCATGACTTTGAAGGTAAGGTTGGGTGGTTGTCAACCCCCCACCTTGATTTTGCACAATAGATATACAATGTGTCACACTTATATTGCATGAAACGGCGAGATGGCCGAGCGGTCTAAGGCGCTAGCTTAAGGTTGATTGTTTGCAGTCGATTACAACGCTAGTCCGAAAGGGCGTGGGTTCGAATCCCACTCTCGTCATTTTTTGTCTTTTTGCGCCGCAAACCAACTTGTGGATAGCGCAAACTACATTTTTGCGATCAGAAAACTGGTAGTGTGTACGATGTTTCCTTCTTGAATGAGTGTATCCAGACCCAGGCTGTCATATGCCGAGCCTTGTGTGGTTACGTTGGCATGTAGCTAAAAGGTCTGGCTTTCCCCTCTACCGAATCTTCCTTTCATCAGCCTTCGTCCCCTATTCCTCCACATTCCGTTTCGGCCCCAGTCTTACTTTACAACTGTCACAAACCTCATACTCGAAACCAGTTGATTGAGATGGCATCACGTGATACTCCTGACTCGGGAGAGCTTGTCGAATATTGAGATATTTGGACGCCTGGCTCGGCTGTATGGATCTCAGCCTCCTGCCTTCTAACAGAACGGGCGAGCCTCTCTTTCCCTGTCTAGAGTATATCGAAATCTTTGTCGGCTTCGAAGCTTATGAAGAGTTAGTCTTGGTGAAATTCGTCAGTAAATACAATCTGACGGTATTTAGAGACGATATGAAGTTACGCAATGTTTGCTGAAAGAAGCCCCGAGGCTGAGATGAGAGCGAATTCGTTACACTGGATAGATTGTCGGTTAACTCGTCAGTGTACGCTAAGAGCAAGCTTGCTCAAGCACCACACTGGTACCCGCCAACGTACTACAGTTGCTCATACACTCGTATAGCACTTGGTAACATTACTTTACCGGCTAGAAAATGTGACGTTTATGGAACCTGCATCCACGTCCCCCGGGGCATTAATTCAGCTTTATGAAACATACCGTCTTAGTCCGCTTAGAATGTTGCGTGATGTCCTTTGCCTGTCTTCCTTCCGTAATCTTCACCATCTAAAACTATGTAACCTACTCTACAGCCAATCATGGTAATCCATGGCAAACTATCGATACATCCAATTCGATCAACCTGTAGTCACCTGGATATAGCGAATCCTCGATCTATCGTAGCGGACAACTATCTTGGTTGCACTATGCAACTTCGGCTGTAACAAAGAAAGCTCGGCCCCTTTGGCTGAATTCTTTCGAATTCTCCAAGCTAATACCTAGAATTTACCTCTCCATCATCCTCGTTCCCAGATCTTACAAGATATAGCACGTTAAAATCCCTTCTAACCCTCCCGTACGACGACGCATAATCAGGAGAGCCCCCTCTTACCCCATGGAGCATCACTATGATCAAGGCATAATAACCGACAACTTAACACACCTACATATCTCTCTTCTTCCTCAATACAAACCAACTATACAGCGAATCAAACAAAAAGTCCTGTCGCGTAAAGAGCTTCGAACGAGAAATCAAGGACTAAAGTTTATGAGTACACACCAGGAAAAGAAATTCTAATCACGAAAACTATCAAACCCCTCGAGAAAATTTCCCTCGCTTGCACCTCTCGTGAGGATTAATTCCAAAAAGACAACAAAACAAATCTATCTGGCTGATGCTCATCCGCTAGATTGTCTGGTTTGACACACAGGCCATTCTGTGCGCCAGGGTCAGTACGGCATGTAACCTCGAATACATGCTATCCCCATAAGAGAGCAATACAGGGATACCACTGTAGACATGCGGGCTATATTTACAAAGCCGCCAAATATATTCCACAGTCCGCCCG